ATCATACTTAACTCGTTAAATATTGAAATTAGATGAAAAATGTTTCAAATAAAAGTTGTAGTTCTAATCGTCAGCTAAAAAAAGGTCGTATGCAATTTTCCCGTAGTTCCAATGGTTCAGGGGTATTTGAGGAAAAGCATGTTGGGACAGAGGCACTGGTACGCTAATAGTATGTCCTCAGTAGTCATAATTAAATTCTGATGAATCATGATTCTACGATGTTCACCTAAGCTACGGGCTTATCACTATTAGACTGCGGGTGTTTTTTGCATTTACGGGAATCTTAAATAATTTATACATAAAATATTCAAAGTCAATTTATAACATTTAAAGGCGAATACGAATATTTACATAGATTTTATTTTATTTGTAGAAATAGGAATTTGCATGAACGTCCGTAGTCTAATCATCACTTTCGGGGATTTCAAATACTTAATCATGATGTAAAGGGATGTTAGAAACACTCTGATTTATATTATTTAGCCGAGTTTTAATGAATCGAGTGGCAATATGAATTACTGTAGGATTAAAATTGTTCAAAGCATTCTTGGGGTAGCTAATGATCCGAGTTGTAATAGTAAAGTTTCTTACATTCGAACAAGAATCATCGGGAGCCTGTAATCATCCTGTGAAATCTGTTGCTACAATTTTATCGTAAATCTTGCAATACTATACTTCCTACACTATCAAATTGAAAAGAAAATACGTAATTTTTATTGCAGAACACATACTCTGAAGAAAATAAGCGTAGATCCCTTTTCTTTGGCACCGTATTTAATAGTCTTCTTCTTTGCTAATTCGTCGATGTTGGAGAACGGCGAGACTATCGTTTCGACGGTCAGGAAAGCGGCTAAATTTGCTGTGTACGACGAGACCATGATGAGGACGAAGAACGACCAGGACGACGCCATCATTCTCGTTGAGAGTCCTCTGTACAATAATTAAAATCGACAATAAATAAATGACTTAGTGTTATCAATACAAAGTCTCCCAAAACTAATGTAAGATATTGGAAATAGGAGGTTCCTAACATAATTTCAAACAACATTTTCCTTAGAAAAAAAGTCCGAGATGTGGTCGAGGAATTATTAACAAAAAAATCTCGACCAATCAGAGCACTCGGTTGGCGCGAGCACCCAATCGGAAGCGTCGGCTCGAATCCGGACGCCCGGCCTTTGACGCGTGAACAATCGCTCAACTTAATACGAAGCGTTTTAAGAAAATGACGAATAATAAACTACAT